GACTGCTTGCCTACGCGGCACAGCCCGTCCGTGCCATAGTCTCAGTGAAGTCTCGACCGCGGGACGGAGCGGTTTGGTAATGGTCGTCGCTCTTTGGAGCACTGATTCGGCCTGAGCTAGGTCAGGGACGGCGAAAGTATTTGCTGCCCTGCTCGCCGACAGGATGTTGTGCCAGCCGTCCTCGTCGCCACGGAATCGCTTCGGTGGAATTAATAGTTTACCTGTCTCTTTGCGTTTGTAGGAACTAAGGGTTCTTGGCTTGTAAGCATCTGTTGTTGTTTTGAGAGCAGTAGAAATGGCAGTGATGTCGAAGATGGCTGTCGTCAGGGTTATTGCGCCTTGTTTACCGACGTTTTAGAGGTGCGTGCTGTCTATCATCAGGGCGATGGGAGGCAAAATTCTAGCAGAGCACACGATGCAACAGACTTTGTACTCGCCGCCATGAGAACCTGAAATCTCCGTGACGAAACGTGTTTGTCAACTGTTTGCCGACAATGTTTGTTCGTGTATATGAGCCGTGTACAAGAAATATTCTGATGAGCACCTCATTTTTCAAATAAACAACCCGTCTTCAATTTCTGTTGCTGTCCGTGAGCAATAAATGAAATTTCAGTCGTGTTATGTAATGGATATGGAAGGAACGCGGTAGGCTTTCTGGTTTCTGTGGGTGTCATCACCAGCTGTGGACCCGCCTGGTATAAAGCTAGAAACCTACCCGCATGAGGTCTGTGGAGGACACATATGTAACAATATACAGGTCGGGGAATATGCGTTTGATCGACGGCTCACAAGATGCGGGACTCCACCTATTTTAAATAAACCACCGTCAGGTGCAGGAGTTTTTTCTCAGCGTGTGTATGAATTGTAATGAGTCCGTCCGTCCGTGAGTGAATCTTGTACACACATCGGAAACATAATTACTGATAGAAAGGGTGTGAAGCGTCTGGGGCGTGGAAGAACTTGCATAATGAGGAGCTGCATACTTTTTACTATTCACCGGATATAATAATGTTTATTGTGTTGACAGTATGTGCCTCCTTATATGCTACCCCCCCCCTCCCCTCTGGTTCCCTTGCCAGTTACTTGTAACGGTTCTGAGACGCGCAGATTCGCCCCGATTACAGTAATATCCGTTGTAGGCAACGGAATTTGCAGGGTTTTGCTGCGCGAGGTGAAACAAGCTTTCTTAATTATTAGATTTATGTGTGCTGTAATGACATGTGGAGTTGTGGGTCGATGTCATTTCGGAGGAACATGCTGTCTCCGTCGTCAGGGCTGAAGAGACAATGTTCCTCTTGAAACGTCTGTGTGTCTTCTATGTCCGCACTTCGTGTCTATCTGGAAGACCGACATCGACGTTTTTACGGACATGAGAACCTCAAGTCTGATCCGACCTACTTTTGTTCGTGACATTACCAGTGGTATTCAACCTGGTGTACGCGTACCCCCGGGGGTACGCGAAGACATCCTAGGGGGTACGTGAAATTTAAAAAATATATATATTACTTTATGATAAACACTGAATAATCAGTAATGTAATTTATTTAATTTATTTTAGATGTAGATTATATACTATGTATAACTTGAATTATACACCAACAACTTTGGGGGTACAAAGTTGAAGAGAAATTATATCTGGGGGTACGCGAACAAAAAATGCTGAGTACCACTGACATTACTACTGGTAGTCTCATTAAAGACGAGAGCGCCCTTATTTCTGTTGTTGTGTTTGCAGGCATCTCGACCGATACGAGAAGGTTCACTACTTGGGCGAGGACGTGGAACGAGGTAGTGATGACGACGAAGAGACCCGACACCGACGTTGGTCCGCCCGGGCCCTGCACTGTGTACCCCTCACCTACAATCACCATCAGCACAACGTTGCAGGTTCGTGGTACAATAAGAGACATTTGTCCAGGGTTTTATAAAACTCCGCACGTTTCGTCTTCCCCCCCCGGTAGAGAAGGGGAATCGGGCGTGTCAATGCGTGTTTCTTGTGTGGCCTATATTTGCGTTTTAAGTAACTTTTGTATTGTAAATCCGGTGGGACTGCGATCGAGATGCAATCTGCATAAATTAGTCACCTATAACAATTCCTATGTTATTATAGCGCGGAGTTTTAGTGTTTATGTAATGGATTTATGCGCGGAGTTGCGTGGTGGGCCAGGTGTAAACCTGGAAGTTTGTAGCGAAGGAGGCGCGAAATTCTCAACTCCAGTTTTCAACATTCGTTGCCTTCGTAATTATGTTACGTTAACTAACTCATACTTTATTATGTTTAATGATTTCCTCGTTGCATGTTGTTATGCTTAGGAAATTTTTTGGAAACTTAGTAGCCAGGTCAGCCCAGTCAGTTCAATGTCTGGGCTTTGTCTAATGGGTACAGAGGGCTCATTTCCTAGTGTTAAAACGGTCGGTGTGTGAAGCTGATCGCTAGTTTTATTTATGCCCGGAGTTAAGAAGCTATACGTTCACATTAACCAGAAGCCACGGTGGTCTAGCGGTTAGAACGCTGGCTTTGTAATCCTGGGGTCTCGGGTTCGATTCCCGGCGGTGCCCGAATTTATAACTTGTGTTGGGCAAGGCCGTGGTCTAGGCAACACGGAGTTTTCCTCCGTGGCATCCCAACAATTACTCCATTCACACACAGAAGAAGGCAATGCCAAACCACTTCTGGATCATCTGCCAAGAACATATATGAACAGGTCCCAGTCCGAGAAAAAGGATGGAAGGATCCTGTTCAGATGGACCTGTCGTCAGACAGAACACGAAATAAATAAATGATGGCCACGTTGGTCTAGCGGCTAGAACGCTGGCCTTGCAATCCTGGGGTCTCGGGTTCGATTCCCGGCGGTGCCGAATTTATAACTTGTGTTGGGCAAGGCCGTGGTCTAGGCAACACGGAGTTTTCCTCCGGGGGCTTCCCCGGTTTCTCCGTGGCATCCCAACAATTACTCCATTCACACACAGAAGAAGGCAATGGCAAACCACTTCTGGATCATCTGCCAAGAACGTATATGAACAGGTCCCAGTCCGAGAAAAGGAGGGAAGGATCCTGTTCATATGGACCTGTCGTCAGACAGAACACTAAATAATAATAATAACGTTTACAGTATTAAAATTACATTCCATCTCCTCAACTTTTATTACGAAACAATATGGTTTAACGGCCGTGTTGCCATCTTATCGTCCTGACGTCCGAACGAAGTGAAATGTAACAGCTGCACTCGCGAACACAAGAAGGCGCGAACAGACATTGTAGCCTCACGTCGTATTCGAACCCATGACCTCATTGTGTTTCTTATAGACTGGACTTCTTCGCAATTTACCTGGAGAGACAGGGAAAATCACGAAAATAGATAGCCTCCCTCCGATACGAAAATCGGACCCAGAACCCCTGGAACACGAAGCAGGCGTTCCAGCCGTAACTCTGGTTCGGTCTGTTTATTTATTTATTTGTGGTTTATTACTGTCTGGGAGGTTGTATTTCTGGTCCTTAAAGTGTGTTCGGATTACCACAGCACCAAATGCACTGTAATGTGTTAAACTTTACAGTAAATATTATGTACTTAGGAATCAGCTAGACGCTAAGTTTTTATAGCTACTTTACGTAGTTAAATGTACAAGCAAACAAACTGAAAGGGATCTAAAAAGTTACATTGGAAGCAACATCCAAGCTGCGGGTACGTGTACATCACAAGTGACACACAGTTAACCTGAAAGCAAAGAGAGCTTAAGTATAGTCGGCGTCAGTTTACTTGCCGTCTGCTCGTCATAGTAATTTTGGCTCGGCTCGTTACGGCTTGGTTTATGCAACGGGACGGCAAGTACGTTCTGCGTAGAACTGAGAAATGTTATTTGAAATCGTAGTACCGAGCAGCGCGTGCGCAGAGCGCCATATTGACCTCCCTTCCGCCCCCGCCCTCTGCAAATGTTAAATGTCCTGTGTAATGCATTGCATTAGGTCATTAACTTCTGGAATTTCGAAAATTGCTGGTAAGGTGCCTTTCGTCGTGGGTTAGTGCTATTTTTTCTTTCCAGAAGTAGAAACAATCATGCTTATTGCTTTGACGTGTAAATATGTTCACACAAATGTTCGATATTCCATTTTTGCTTAATTTATTTTACAACAGTCTACTGACGGCTGTTGAATAGTTGGACAAGAGTTAATATTCCGGTATGGAGTCATGATCCGCATGATACTGTGCTCGAAATGGGAGGTCGCGTTTCCGGAAATGACTGGTAACTATATGCACCATCTTTTTTAACACTCGATAACTCTGTATTTTGTCCAGAGTGTGGCCTTAATAAGCAGCGATCACCCTTAAACAGCTTTAATTATTTTTTTTTCCCAATGAAGACGCATATATAATTTATGTCTAGATGAACTTCGTGCTTCAAGAGTTTAAGAAATGCAAAGCAGAGTTTACTGTGTGAGGATGCCTCGATTGGCCAGAAAATCGGCCTCCGTTCCCGTAGCCAAGTAGGTTACAGGCAGAATAACACGTTTTAATTTTTCAGACACTAGTTTCCCCCTGGACAGGTCAGGACAATTCGTCTCTGCTCGAAGCATGTGTCACATGTTGCGATGAAAGGAAGATTCTCTGCACAGGAAAGCTGGTGAGTTGCGGGTACGTTCTGTGATGGCCTCAGCAAATTTTCTTTCGCATCGCTTGAAATGTTGGCTGTGCTCTGAGAGAGAAACGGAAATACTGACTCGCCATGGTAAAAATATTGGGCAAAACATCTAACCCAGTCAGTAGTAAAATGTTTTTATGACCGTAGGAGAAAAAACAGTCGCGATCATGACGTCTGCAGACTCGTCATCACTTCTTTTGCGGCTATTCGACGTTTATACTGCTGAAACCAGTAATGAGGGACAGTCAGGTTTCTGCATGCTAACCAGACATTGCCACTTGTACAGAAACGGAGTTCGTTCTCGGAAACTTGTAACCTCGTGTGCTTAAATTCATGTAGGAAGAAGCAGTTGTCGTCTGCTTCGTGGTGCAAGATACATTACGAGGTGTTCAGCTGGAACACTGGTTCTTAACCTGGGTATAATTACCCCTTGAGGGATAGTTTTACGTATTTCATGGGGTACTGGACTGGCCAGCTACACGTCTCTGTTAAATAATAGTTTTTTTTTCTGTCCAGCGCAGTTGTTCTCGACCTCTTTGGCGTATGAAATCTTCAGGTTTATTGTTTAACCCTGAGGAGGATAAGCACCGCAGAGGTTAAAAATCACAGATCTGCAGGAAGCGACTTAAGTTTTATGGTAGTTTGTATCCATTTGTGTTAGAAATCTAGGCGGTGTTACGTAAGTGCTGTGGAGAAGTTTTTGGTCTCGGGCTGGCGTGGTGAAATGAAGTTGTATGGTCGTGGACAATTTTGAAGTCTTCTAGTAGCCTCGAAGGTGAAGTTGCCCTGCCCTCAGGAAAGGGACCTCCAGTACCCCGTTTGATAGATTGTCCCCAGAGTCAGTTATGTGGGTGACGAGAACGATATCTGCGCTTGGCGAGAATCGAATCTGTATCCGGTTTACCGACTGACCCATCCCGACTCTCGTCCTAGCCTGGAAGGATAATCGAAATTAATGCCAGGCTGTAACAACTTTCTGTGTGGTGCGATTGGACGCCGAGGAAATGGTTACTTCTCGTGTGTATGGAAATTCGTGACGGCGTTGTGCCGTGTGGAAGGTCGAGGCATCTCAGACGTTGTCTGCCTTGTAGCCGTCGTCGCTCTGGTGTAATTCCGGTCGCTGCCACCGCTACAAATATCGTCGTGATTGCCGGGGTATTGGAGGTCACGTGGCAGTGGCGGATTCGGCTGTATTGCTGACAGGAGCTTGGTGTACTGTCTTTCCTGAATACCTTCTTTGTGATTGTCTTTCTCGTAGGCCTTCACTGCAAAAAAGGATTTTCCGTGTAATATTTTGTAATTTGTATATTTTGTTCGTTTGGGATGTATCACGACGCCTGACCTTAGGACGCAATTTGTGTGGGGTCAGTAGCATTGTCTGTAGAGCATGAGTGACGTTTTTCCTTCCCTGTTAGAGAGAAATGCTGTGTAATGATGTAGAAACGTCAGCGGCCTTCCTTGTACCTTTTGATTTTGTGGACAGAGCACGCGATCAAAACGTGCAAGTGAACCCACCCTATATCTGTGTTGAACAGTTCACGTAAGGGCAGGGGAAAAGCGAAAAATTCTAGGTGTTGTCGCCATTGACGAACTAGGGACACTGAAAAGAACAGAGCTTGCACGTTTTCTGACTCCTAAACTAATCGTTCTCTCAGACGAATGCCTGAAGAATTAGCTCGCGTCTACTGTCCTTTCAGGTTATTAATCATCGTATTGTGAGTGGTTATTTGACTGGAAATGAAACGATTAACAAAATAATGTTGACGGAAAGAACGCCCTTGTCCATCTCCCAGATGGTGTTAAAATGGAGCAGAGATGGAATGATGTTGACGAGGGTAAGCGGAATGACTCTGAGAAAATCTGTCCCAGTGTCACTTTGTCCTCCGTAACTATTGACCTGGCATTGAACCCTGGTTTCCGCAGGGAGAAGTCGGTGACTAACCCACCTGAGCTGTGGCTTCTTGGTAACGAAATACGTGGCGTACTATGAGCCGGGAGCAGCCCTCGTGGTAGTGTTTGTTGTACTCGTACGTCGTCAGCACGCCACATAGCCAGGGAACTGAAGTGACGTGAAGATGCCGCTGACTTGTTCCTGGTGCGTCACAACCAACAGCGCAACTCTGGGCAATCAATACACAGCCACCGCTGCCCAGCACTGAACTCTGATTCGTGGTTTGACCTCTCAACTCTTGCCTGTTATTTTACAGAGGCTCCATGACAGTTTCCCCGGGAACGACACACATTCACTTTCCAACTTTGTAACGCATTCGCCACGTTTTCTGATCCTCTGGACTTTACTGTTTATGCTTTTATGCAAATAAGCTGCAAGTCTTGTATGGACCTCTTCAATCCGACATTGATTTTGAATTTATTTATTTTTCGTTTATTTAACAGCGCTTGCAGTTGGTTAGACTGTTGTACAATTAATAATAATGAACTCAGAAGGATGTCGAAGGAAGCTGGCGTGCCCCTCTGGAAGAACAGAGTTAAACAACGATAAACTTCAGTCATGATAGACGATCTCCCGGCCGGTATTTGAAACCGGGACCCGCAGAATACGAAGTAGGATTACTGACCACGCGGCTGTTACATGTTATTCTGTCTGTGAGAAATTATTTGCTGTGGTTAAGCAATCTCATTAACAGCGACTTGATGCTGTCGAGAAATCTTTCGTTTGTGAACTTCGGTTGGCTTACCAGCTACATAGTGTTCGTCCACTTAGCTCAGATTATCTGGATGTCAGATCGCTGGAAAGACCTGGGTGAATATGAGATGATATTATTAAAATGAATCGAACTTAAATCGGTTGGGAGGCCATTGATTCATCTGGATGAGGATAGAGACCAGTAGCGGACTGTTGTTAACATGATCCTTTGGAGTCCATAAAAGGCCGGTAATTTTTGAATCAGCTAAGCGGCTGTTGCATCCTCGAGGTCATTTTCCCCATGGACTGTGGTTGGTTAGGTTATGCGGACGTCAAACTGACGACAAGAATTATCGTTAGTACGTACTTCCTGTATCCTGGCCACATGTATGGTAGTGTAGTACACGTTTTACAAATTCAGAAAGTTTTGTGCGCTTTGCTCTGACGTCATTTGATCCGATGTTAAAAGTGCGTCGCTGCACAACACTACGCCCAAGCTGGAAAGGGACCTGACATCGCGTATAGATCTAGGATACTCTCTGCGCTTGCCCTGTCTTGTCCCACCTGCCCGCCGAGCAGAGTTATCGACTAAGTCTTCCTGCAGATTTGCCGCCCCCCAACTACGGAGAAACAACCGATTTCTCTTTGTTGCTGCATTTAACCAAACTGCGTAGTATTTCTTCGGAGCGGCATTTTCCTCTGGTCTCATTTTGTGTGGTACAGAGTATCTGCAGGTGGGGAGTGACTTTTTCAAAAGTGTTAGCCGAATCCCGATGAAAATTGGGTGGTGGGGGCCCCGTGAACATTTTGTGCGCAATCGCAACACGACACGCGTAGTTAAGATGGCTCTCTTCTGGGTTGTAGCGCCATGTGGTCTGATAGAAGTTTACCAGCGACCTCTGAAACGTTGGCAAACGTCTACCTGACTGCACGGCGCTACAACCTAGAAGACAGCGGTCTTCGTGCTCATTGCCCTGAGAAACTCAAGTCCCAGTTTCGCAATTAAAATCGCGAGAAATGTGGTACAGCGCTCAACGTGAAAAGTCAGACGTGCCCGGGATTTCAACCTGTCAGCTACTTGTACGTTGTCCCGATAGGTAGTCACTTCGCGGATGATGGCATCCGCTGTATCCTCGAGAGGATCTGTGTTGAGGTGTTGGTCAATTGCGATAGCTTCGTATCCGGTCCGCACAACGAACGGTACGCTGCCGGCCGACCTGGAAGCCCTCGTTGTCCACCGTCTCTGGGCTCCTGCGCGCAACGTCTTGTGATATTATTGGAGACGGTTTCATTTTAAAAGAGATCTTTTGCCGGGACAGGTATACGCGAAGCCTATCGGTGGTTAATATGGGTAATCTCTCTCAAAACACTCTGCTGTGCTATGCTCTATTTTTCGTCACAAATTACGTTTAGCTTTCTGAGGTTTGTGTTGTCTAGAACAGTGGTATTCAACCTGGGGTACACGTACCCCCGACGGTACGCGAAGACATATTAGGGGGTACGTGGAATTTAAAAAAATAAATTATTTTGTGATAAACACTGAATAATCAGTAATGTAATTTATTTAATTTATTTTAGATGTAGATTATATACTATGTATAACTTGAATTATACACCAACAACTTTGGGGGTACAGAGTTGAAGAGAAATTATATCTGGGGGTACGCGAACAAAAAAAGGTTGAATACCACTGATCTAGAATAGTGTTTTTCAACCTAGTGTTCACTGACGATTGGGCGTCCTCAGGTTTTTATTTCATTTTATACTTCAGTGTCGGAGTAAAAATATGACGAAATTTACTGTACCGTCTTTTATTTTTTAGTTTTTATCTCGACGCCCCAAAAACGTACAAAAATGCTTGTGCGTATGGTAACAAATTAAAAAGATTACTTGTTCGTTTGATTAAAGAGAAATTGTGTATATTTTCGATTTTGGCTCAAGTTTAAAATTATTATTTTAAAGGACAGGTTTGCCATGAACTCGTTTTGTGTGGTCCTGTCCAATAAACATACAGACGTCTAGACATCGTGAACGTTAAAAGCCTTCATTAGCTAACTTTCTTTCGTGTTGCGTTACTTTTCTCCATGAATGAATTCAAGCTCTTTGGTGTTGGACGTACTACACGAGACATTAATTATGGCGCATACCGACGAAAGGCGTATAAGGGAGGATAATTTTAAAACAGATCTTACGGAAGTAGGATTAGAGGGTGTGGTTTGGATTCGTCTGTCAGTGTAGGTGCCGGCTAACTGAATAATGGTACATTGATTGTAATCTTGTGTTCAATTTTTGGCTTCACTATTTATTAGATCGAGAACTGGTGTGGAATGTGACATCTTTTGATGGATCAACATAGAAAAAAGTGCGAATGTTTGCTACGATTTCGTGTTGTGGCCTTGAAGATGCTCTTGTCTCAGCGAATATCCTGTACTCCAAGGAAAACCACTTGAAGCTCAGTGGTGACGTCGCTTTTTAATGTGGCGAGAAACTGAACAATTCATTCAACATAATGCTCTGCTATGCGGCCTCGCCATATTGCTTATGAGGCAGAGACACGTCTTGGGCGAAATTGAACTCGCTTATTATGGCGCACGCAACACAGCTGTGTGAGACTTGTTGCCTAACGACAGTGGCGGGGGGCCCTGTGACTAACGCTATTTTGAATCGACTCATTAATGCATACCATGTTAGTTTATACATGTTCATTATTTGGTTATTGTGTTCACCACGTCATAATTCATCGCGATGTGTATTTATATTACAAAATTACTTTCAGATGTTTTACGATCATAGAGAATGTAAATAACCAATTATTGCATTGAATGTATGTGATGCCGTAATTGAATAGTCAGAGTTTCAGAGAAAGAGGTTATATCCTTATTGTATTCTATCGGCTTGCATAAATAAAATAAAATATAACAATTATTTATTTTAATCCGTCTGATCACAATATAATTTATTTAAAATTTCTTATAATTAAGATAATAAAATATCATTCATGTTCCATATCGATTGATCGATTTACATTTCGGAACATTTACACAACATGTTTCGGTTTTTATAAAACCATCATCAGGTGTAAAATATATCTAAGAACTTAAAACTCAATTATGATTTCTGTAGTTTTTTGGTGATGTTTCATTATGTTTGTTTTTCCATTTTTGGGTGAAGGTGTTGTTTTTCTTAAATGTTATTAGATGTACATATCGGCCAAAGATGTAGGAGTGAGTGTCCCGATATGTCCAGAAGTACTAGTGTCTTCGAATAGGTTATGAAAAAATAAAATATATAAACTGATACAGAGATAGTGGCGTAAAACGTTTTTCTCGCATAAGTTGAGGACGGGAGGGGCTGTATAACGGTGCTCTTCATGGGTTGTTTTCTAAGAATTTTAATCTTTGCCCCTTATAAGGTGCTGACCCCTGACCTAGGCGATGCAAAATGAAGCCAGGTGCCCTCAGTCACTGCATGTGCCCAGTTACGACGATCCGAGCCTTCCAGCGCGTATTGCCCTATCCCCGAATGCCTAAAAAGGAATAACTCGTATTTCATCCACGATTTATGTCGATTATTTCTTATCCTCATCGATATTCAGAGGAGTGTCTGTCTACTGTAAAGCATGCGTTTTAGATCGAATCTCGTGAATTGTTCGGTAGATTTTCGATTACCGTATTTGTCTGGTTCCCCTTCATGAAACCCTTGATCACGGAGAAACAGTTGCTCCCCGTTTTAATGCTGAGTCAGTTTTCTCCAGACATTTTTAATATTATGATTCTGAAATGCGTATGTAGTCTGTGTATACATACGCATATGCACGGTAGAAATTTGTGATATAATTTGAAGATTCCTAAAATGTGTGTAGTATTAACATTTGAATTATTAAAAATATAAACGCGTACAAATGTTGGGTTTGACGGCCTGAAGGGAAGAAATCCCTCGGAAGGCCTGTGCCTAGGTGGAAGATTGTGACATTAAAACTGATGTCAAGTAAAAGAAGATGGTTGGTTGGTGTATTGGATTTATCTGGCTTGGAATATGAGCGGCTGGCTGTTTTCTGTGAACACAATTACAAGGTGTAGGGTTTTATAAGCAGAGGGGGATTTCTTGCCTAGCCGAGTGTAGGCTATCATTATCTTCTCAAGAACTGCTCTGTTCCATGGAGTTAGTTTATTATTAAAGAATAATTATGTAAGACTGTACAGGTTGTCCCAAAAGTATACACAATTCTGACGTGTAATGGTTGTGTGTATACATTTTTGGGGAGACCGTGTATGTCTTCAGATATATTTGTACAGTCATAATTTTACGCCATGCAAGTGGTCTCAGAGACTTAAACGCGTTGGCGAGAAAGTGAGTGACGGTGATGAGTATTGATCAGTTTCCTTGTGATTGAGCAAGTAGTAAGCCACCGCAGAATTTAATTCGATTAACGACATACGCTTCTGTGTTCCACAAACGTGAATACGGGTATATTGACCAGCTGAATGAATAACCATGAAGATGGCTTTCAGAGGTTCCTGCTGCCATCATCATCATCGTCAACAACAACCCAGAAGGCAGCCATCTTCAGATTCACCTAAAATATCTGAACACGAATTAGGACAATAAGGCGACAGGGTTTATACGGAGTAGCAATCATGGCGCACAGCTAAATGCAAATGAAGATGCTATTGGAGGATAAAACGCCTTCGGATAGATTTACAAAAAGAACAACTTATATGAGTGTACCGGCTTTCATCTCGTCCCGTGCAGAAACAGCTTTGAAGGGTCACCTTGGCTGCTGGCAGAGTCACGGTGCCAGGTCTGTGACTGCAGCCTGTTGAACGTTGTTCGCTGATTCTCCTCAGTTTCCTGCCTCACACCTTCGCATAAAATGAGCGCGAGTGACAAGTTTCTTGTGCCAACAGTCTTTCTCCTTTCCATCTGTATTTTTTCAGTTTTTTTCTTCTGTCGGCTTATTTCTTGTAATCCTTTTTCCTTCCATGAACCCTCTTGCTTTGTTAACGCTGACAATTTAAATAAATATTATAAATATTCCGCCATTTGTCTGAAGATGATGACAGAATCGTCATTTCCGATTCCGGAAGTCGTTCGACCTGTACGCAAAAGGAAACACTTTAAAACAGGGTAATAAAAGGTGAACTCTTTGTACAGCTGACCAGCGTTTAAATTAACTAACTTCTGCGGTGTTATGCCACGATGTTTACAAAATATATCTGCATTCGTAGCATTTAGAGAAGGCCTGGTCTCAGCCGAATGGTTAGTGCAGGGGCGACCAACCCGCGGGCCGCATGTGGCCCGCCTTGAACATTTTTCCGGCCCGCGAGATTCATCACACTTTTACAAAATATATTTATTTTATAATGGCCAAAGTAGTGAAAACCAATGTATTAAAAAAATACATTATTTGTGCATCCATATATTCAAAAATTATCTGTCGAAATTATGAGAAAAAATTAACTTTGATTTTAAAATAATATTCTTGCGAATATATGACAGATATTGCCTGTTTTATTCATGAGTTTACAGTTATGAGTTCGCAGAATAATTAAACTATATTCTGCGAACTCATGATGCGCGTGCATCTTGGAACATCTAATATAACAGGTTCTATGTTTCACTCTTAAGTGCCCTCAGTGACGCAGTGACCATACCTAGATACGCACAGTTGATTGTTGATAGCAGAGCAGAGCAGACTCTCAGTTTCAAGTGAAAATTTGCTTTTTGGGTGCTTCGTGTTAGGGAGTTCCACCGGAGACGGACATCATGTCTGACGTTTTTCGTGATTTCTCTCAGTCTCTCCAGATAAATTACTTCCGTATGTCTCACGTGAGACCACGACCGCTTCCTTTCTTATCCGTCCCAATTCACCAATCATTGCATCATTGCACGCCTCAGTCTAAGTTATTGATAGCGTCGTAAGTAAATATTTGTAGAGATAAATTGTATTTGCTTAGAAGTACACACGTATGTATTCTGCTTCACTTATAAGCTGGTCAATCATGAATCAAATATTAAATACAACGCAATATCACGGAAATACGTAATTATCTTTATGCCCAATGACATCCTTTATAAATTACTAACTTTCGAAATTATTAGTACTGTTGATGTAAAGTTGTCCCTGTTGCGTAATGTGAGCATCTCGCCAAGCAGGCGTATTGAGGAGTGGAGGTATAGCTCTACGCATTCCTGATCTCGGTACTAGATGAATGTGAGCTTTACCACTAATGACAGAACCCCGACACCGATTGGGTAGGAGGCTAGAACAGTGGTATTCAATCTTTTTTGTTCGCGTACCCCCAGCGGTTAGAACGCTGGCCTTGTAATCCTGGGGTCTCAGGTTCGATTCCCGGTGGTGCCCGAATTTATAACTTGTGTTGGGCAAGGCCGTGGTCTAGGCAACACGGAGTTTTCCTCCGGGGGCTTCCCCGGTTTCTCCGTGGCATCCCATTCACACACAGAAGAAGGCAATGGCAAACCACTTCTGGATCATCTGCCAAGAACGTATATGAACAGGTCCCAGTCCGAGAAAAGGATCGAAGGATCCTGTTCATATGGACCTGCCCTCAGACAGAACACTACAAATAAATAAGTGTAACGTCTAATTGATCTCTAATTTGTTTATGAATGTTAATGAATTGAAATTTCTACAAGGAATAATTTTCATTCAGTTTCGGTTTTCACAAGTTTTCACCCGATATGAAGTTGAACACACAAAATAATTACACAGTGTTTTAATGACTTCAGATACCTTTAAATTCCGTGTCCCCTCGCTTGGGGACTGCAGTTGGCTTTTATTGGAGACTTCTAGCGCCGTAAACTTAGGTAAAAGATAAAACCTTCCTTGCCAGACACACGCCATGAAGATGAATTGGCTGTTCCCTGCACAAAGGTGGCTCGACTACACGCACTGCATGTGTTACGGAATCAGCTTTGAAAACCGGTCTGATCTAGGGGAAAAGAGCGCTGCTCCCAAGAACTCACACGTGGAACACAAGCGAGAGAAGAAAAATCAAATTTGTTAGATAATTTTAGCTGGAGACCCGAGCACAAAGTATAAATAAAATAATAATCTCCCACCTCGTTCAAAGAAGGGATGGAAAGAAAATGTTCGAATCGAATCCTGTAGAACTGCATCCCCGCCTCATGGCCCAAGATAACTCCAACATTAGAACTGCTTCATAAATAATCAGCATCTGCTCCGAGGACGACTGAAGGAAGGGAGACCAGAGCCCCGATGTACAGCTCCGAATTGACAATTTGGCACTGTGCCATTTTACTTTATTGACAGACACCGTCCGGTGTCGTCGTGTCGCATAAACCACCTTTCTGACTATTTATACACCCTGAAGTCGCGACTCAAATAATGCAGCATCAAAAATACATCGATAAAGCCCGCAGAAAAAAGTTTATCGTGAGGTTTCCAAAATTTATTGAAACGGAGGTGAAGTACGAGCTCTGTTGGCTATTCGAGACCCCGTTCATTCGTTTTCAGTATGGTTACCTACTGCGTAGTCTGAAACTGACTGATGTTTCGGGTGTATTTACTGCCTCCATCATCAGGGAGATCGCAATCAAAGCTCGTAGCATATTTTCTTGTGTTTTTTATTTTCAGTGTTCTGTCTGACGACAGGTCCATATGAACAGGATCCTTCCATCCTTTTCTCGGACTGGGACCTGTTCATATACGTTCTTGGCAGATGATCCAGAAGTGGTTTGCCATTGCCTTCTTCTGTGTGTGAATGGAATAATTGTTGGGATGCCACGGAGACCGGGGAAGACTAGAATAAATTGTGCCTTTCTGTTTAGGGATTAAGTCGCTGTTTGTTCTAAGAACCACTCCAGTCCCTTAATGGTATTTCGCTGGCTGTGTCACACGCAGTGTCACCGTCGTATGTCATGTGGATTGACTTGCCCCTGCGGGCGAGCCCATCGATATTTGCGTTATTGATTGGCAGTTGTGGCTACATTGTATCGCACCGCCGCTAAATAAAAATTTATGCAGAGAAGAAGTGGCCAGTGTCCTTATGCGTTGAGAAGAACAAGCTTAAACCGGATCACTTTGAAAAGTCGAAAATGAAAATGTTGACTTGTATTCGCGATCCTCGTTGGTGCAGTGCGGGTGGCCGTGCAGCGCGCTGGGGCAAAATTATGTTTGACATACACGACTCGTCGGGAGATAGTTTTACTCCCGAAACGTCGTGCATTAACTGTAATTTGGACAATGGACAATACCCAACATTGTGTTTTTGTGATGAATCGGTCATTGTCACAAATCTTTAAAGAATCTTACTGCACGTGGGAGCCCACATAAAAGCCTCGGGGAGATATCTTCGTTTGTCGTACTCAACTTCTGTCCCGTTATCCGCACGGGAGTATCCCTCCCAGGCACTTACTTTTGCGGAAAGCCATGTTAAGTGCCCCTTATTGATCTCCGAATCGTATTTGAAATTACGTGAAAATCGTGAACAAATGGTTTGTGTCCAAGGCTGGATTCGAACCTAGGATCCCAGTATTCTAGCGGGAAAAGACTGCATGTCTTACGCCTTGCGGCTACTGTGACCGATTTTCTCCTTGATTTAAATTGAAATCGGATTGAACTGCCATTACAATTTGCACTTAACAAGTTTGGAACGAAACATTTGTGTTTACAGTTTTGTGTCGCTGGCCGCCAATTGACGTACGTCCGCCACAACGGAGTGATAACACGCGAACAGTTCTTCTGAATCCACGCCTCTTAAGCTGCGCGAGACATTTCTGAAACCTTCTTCTGCTTTCGATGTACGCTTCAATATCTTAATAATTTTAAGTTTAAAATCGTTGTCAATACTACGACTACCTTCAAAGCTTCGACACAGCGAAATTATTATCTTTCTGAGGTGACGACGTCTGTTATCGACTGAGCGTGGGAGTACAAGAGTTTGCGAGGAAACCGGGATAGCTCAGTCAGTATAGTGACTAGCTACGGGCGGGACGGCCGGGGTTCGATCCCCGACGGGGGCAGAGGATTTTTCCTCTGCGTCCAGACCGGCTCTGGGGCCAACCCAACCTCCTATCCAATGGGTACCGGGGG